CCAACGGTTACGCGATGCCGACACCGGGCCAATGCAGATGACGATACCTCAAGTACTGAGGATTCGGCACCTTATCAGGGACGCCGAGGATATCGAGCGTCGCATTACCAATCGGATCCAAAACCTCAGCACGTCTGACCCAGGAGTGGCCAGATTAACGGACCAGCAGCAAACACTGTCCCAACGGATAGCTTTGCTTAGGGAGATTACTCCGAATAATACGATGCCCACCGGCCTCGGACTAAGAGTCTTTGATATTCTAACGAGGGGGGTCCGCGAGACTATCGAAGAATACTGGAACGTCCAACGACCTGGCCCGTCAACGACGGCACACTCCAGCGACTTCGACCCGGTAAACGAATGGCGACCATCACCAGTGTCCGCGCCAGCACCTTTGGCCCTGACATACGAACCGGTCGCCCCAGCACCAGCTGGACAACCAACTCCAGCTGAGTCGGCTCAGGCCCTAACGGTGCCTGGTCCAACATTAAGCCAACCTAGGGACACTGCTGGAACTGCTACAGCGGGCAGCAGTATAGAAGTCCCACCGCAGAACGTCGAAATGGACGTGAGCCTGCCGGATAACACCTTAGAGCTTTTGTTGGAGAAGCCAGTCGAACCGAAGTCGACACCAGTCCAACCGGCTGGTGAAACGACAAGTCCAATGGTTGTTGATGCACCAACGGTGTCATCACAGCAGATGCCGAAACCAATCGAGGGCGACACATCAAGTGGAACCCTTATTGTCCGACCAACGGACAGGAAATCCACAGGAGGAAGGCCAGAACCAGCCACTCCTGCCACAACAAGTGGTCCACAGTCGCCCAGGTTTAAAAAGAAGAAGAGGACTCCTCCAGAAGCAGATGAGCCTCCTTCACAACGGTCACTTCCACCTTGGCAGGGACCAAGAGAAAACATGGAGCTGAACCGTCTGACCAGGCCCACTCTAACAGCGTGGAGTGGTCCGCCAAAGAACTTAGACGTCCCTGGCCCTACCAGGCCCGGCCCGTCCATACTTAAACCTAAGAAGGCGGAACCACCGACTTTGACGCTTCGAGGCCTAACGACCAAGAAGAAGAAGTCGCCGCCGAAGAACTTTCCTGGCAAAGGACATGTGCTTTCACCACCGGAAGCACCAAAGATTCCGTCAGGAACGACTTAACCTTTGCGGGACGAACCTCCAACGAGGCATCGTATCCGACTGACTCAAAAAGAGTCATGGGATGACCCGCATAACCGGGCTGTAAGCGAGATCATAGAGGTTGATCTGCGCTTAAACTTAACCGGAGAGGACATGCGCCAGCGACTACGCGCCGGCGATCCAACATTAACGGACCGAGAGATTGACCGCACCAACCGGGGTTGTCAATTGTTGGTCCAAGAACGGACAATCCTCATCAGAAAATTGATGGCCATGCGGAGCAAAAAGCCAGGCCCTTCGCCAACGCAAGTTGCCTAGCGAAATCATTGAGCATGCCATCTACATCAGGGGCCCACACATCAATCCAAGGGCATGGACAGTCGAACCGCGTCCACGACCAGGCCAGCCAGTAGAAGACGAACTTCCACCGGAAGAGGCAGAGAGCGAGGACGAACGTCCTCAACTGCCTGCGGCCTTTTGGGCCGTCTCATCCAGCGAGGAGTCGGAGATTGAAGAAGACTTGGACGAAAACGTCCAAAGGGAGTTATATGAGACCAGTCAGGTCCGGCCACCTTCAACGAAGGAATCGCCACGCCGAAGCCGATCTCCATCAAAAAGGATTTCTCCCGGACGCGCCACATCAACTCCGGCGCGAATGCCCTGTATGCCGGCCATCGAACCGGCGCCTGCCAGGTTCACACCGAGCCGGCCAGGCAAGTCCCCGACCAAAGAGAGGATGGACACCACACCTCCTCCACAGCCAACCATGACCATTACTGTGGAAAGAATTGCAGCACCTACGGTGTCTGCAGGTTTATCACTTGAGCCAGTAACGGTCACAGTTAGGACTCCTGCACCAGTGGTCGCAGAATCGGCCAAAACGACGGTGCAGATAACTCCGGCTGTCTCGGACCAAGAAGTGGAAGCTGACACGGCCCTTATGCCCATGAGTGCTCTCACTTCTATCGAGCAGAGACACTTAATCATCCACGCAGACCAAAACGAGCGACGGCGATACCGATTCTTGCTAACGAAGAGGCAGGAGGCGAAGGAGCAGAATAACATGGAAGAATATGACATGTTATCTGAGATGCTCGCGCCATTAGTTTACCGAATGGTAAAAGACTGCCGGACCCGTCGCAACCAAAGGGCTTTTCCCCCACCGGGGCAAGATCCAATGATGGCCGAAGCACTGTCGTCAAGTGCACCACCAACCGTGGTACCACCAAAGGCACAACTACCAGCGGCTTCAGAGCCAATGGACACTACTCCGTCTGGGCCTGTGGCCATAGCGCCACAGCCAGAACCAGTCCAACCGGAGGAGCCACCGAAGGCCACTTCGTCGGCACAAGAATTGGCAGGCCAAAGTTAGTCCGGAACAGGGCCAACGGCCGCTGCTCCGACAATACTGACGAACATGCCCGCCAGTGTCGACGACATACCTTTTGGCCGCCCAGTATCATTCCCTATAACCGGGACACTGGAGAACTTGGCACTTGGCATGAGAGTGATCCACTCAGCTAATTCCCAACGGAATAAGCTGCCGAGAAAAGCCAAAAACCCAGAGAGGGCCAGACCGGCCTCTCGTCCAAACTCCCCTCAACCGAGTGGAAGTCAGGCGGCCACACCTTGGCACAACATCTAATCCAGAGGCCGAACGGAACCGCCAGAAGAAGCAGGCGGCCAAAGATAAAAAGACAGAGGCCAAGATCACCCAGCTAGAAAAGCGGCTGTCAGGCGATGACGACGTCCAAGTCCTATCGGACAGTCCAGACAAACCAGCAGAGCCCGTACTAAATCGTCCACGGCGAGATCAGGAGTATGAACCACGCTTCGGGACAGAACCGCCCTCAGAAGAAGTGATGCTCCCCGCGCCCTGGGACGACGAAGCCGAGCTACCGGATCCTGGACCGGAGGCCACACACACAGAGATCCCAGCGGACCACTATGTGCGATTAACCGTGGCAGCCGCCAGGGCTATGAGGCGCGCAACAGGACGAGACATGTACCAATGCCTCGTCTGCGTCCTACGATCTCGGATGAAATACAAGGAAGAATACCAGGGCCTACCGCCGGCGGACCGTGTACTAACGGCACCCTTTATGCGGCGGATGGTATCCCGGATTCTGGACATGGGACTTCTGGTCCGCACACACCGTGACTGGTCCAGCATGATGGAATAACACGTGGCCCATCGGCCAGCAGGACTTTCCCATAGCAGGGACTTTCCATCAGATATGCAGAACTATCGCTTATCTGCATAATCCAAGAGGCTCCAACCTGACCGATATCGCCAGGACACTCAACGCCCTCTACTACCAGGGAGAAGAGAACCTGGATAAACTCATTACCAGACTGGCCGATGAGCTAATTGCGCTGGTCTGGGAAGGAACCCTGGAAACGACCAACGCACATAGGGCGGAGCCAATTCGCTTCACTATTCCGGGATTCATCCCACAGAAGACCCTACTGTCTCTGTATGTGTCACACGACGTTGACACAAAATGGGATCCGGACAGAAAGAAAGCAGTGGGACCGCCAAAGGACAAGTTGACCGGCAGAGCCAAGGAGGCTTATTTAATCTCCCAAGAGGCCAAACTGCCCGGTCCGAAGAACTTGCCGGTCGAAAAGCCCCCTCGACCATCGGTCACAAGGAGAGAGAGGGCCGCACGGCAAGAAGAGGAAGATCAAATGCGCGCGGCCGGAATCCGACCCGTGCCTAGGGACACTGTGTCACTGCCTAACGCAGCTGGCCAGTCCAGACCTTCTTCACCGACTCCATCAGCCACATCAACCAAAAGTCGAAAGACCACGGCCACAAAGGCCACGGCTGCAAACAGGAGCCTGAGGAAGGGCCCGCTACCACCGGGTCGAGACGTATCAGGCTCCGAGGACTCCGAACCGGAGGACTCAGAGGAAGAACAGCAAGAAGAGCCGGACCAGGACCAAACCATGGAATCCCAAAGGTCCGACTCTGACGACGATGATGACCAGAGCCCTGGTAAACTTACCATGGACGTCCCACGGGACCATGACACGGAAATCCTACCTGGTTGTCAGATATATGTGTGTATACACATCACCTTTCTGCATAGCAACGTTATGTATACGAGTCAATGTTTTGGTTTTTGCTGACAGTCAGTCAGCGACCTGCGTTCGATAATAAAAGTACATTTATTATCACGTCACGACAAACTGGCGTGAAGGCCACACGACCTCACGCGGTCTGATTCCTTACACAAAATGTCGACCCCGGCGCCGATAACGCCTGCATCGCCTACTTCGCCATCAGCCCCCACGACGTCCAGCGAGAAGACTGGATCCGGGCTGATCAAGTTTGAACCCGCGAAGATGACATGGCGGTGGTGGCAATTCCAATACAGGAATTACGTGAAGCTACGGAAAATCAATGACCTGGAAGACCAGAAGTGTTTGCTGCTAGATTCACTCGGGATCGATGCGGGGGAAATGCTTTTTTCCATGTGTTTACCTACTGATCCCGAAAATTTCACAATTGCGCAGCTGGTGGACAAGCTCGAGCATGCCTAAGTGAAGAAAACGAACGCCGCCACCGAGTGGGCGAACTACTTTAAGCTGCAGCAAGAGTCCGGTGAGACCTTGCTGGATTTTTCAAATCGCCTGCGACGAAAGGCATTTCCCTGCGGTTTCCCAGCCGACGTACTTGAGAAGAATATGTCGGCGACCTTTCTGAACGGAATCGCAAGCGACGCTACACGCCAACACCTGCAATCCCAGACCTACACCACTCTGGAGAAGGCTCTGGAGATCTGCGAGGAGTACGAGCTCCGGAGAAGCAACAAGAAGGGCAGTACGGCGCCTGATGTGGCTCGCGTGGACAATGCACGCCGTGGCGGCGGCGCAAGAGGAAGAAACCGCGGCGGCGGCCGAGGCGGACAGCAACGGCGCGGCGCTGGTCCGGACAGGCAGCTCGCAACTAGTAGTAGTACAGGAAGCGTGTGCGATGGCTGCGGCTCTAGCCAACATGTCCGAGCGGAGTGCTGGGCGAAGGAGCTAGCATGTAAAAACTGTGGAAGAAAGGGTCATATTGCGAAAATGTGTCGAAGCGGGAAGCAACCTGCAACCCAGCAGCGAAGAGACGGACGACGGACATTACTCGTGGAAGAGGAATTTGACGTCTTGTCAGTGGACACAACGGGGGGACGATCCATCCACGTACCAGTAAAGCTGGATGGCGTGCCTGTGTCGCCCGTTCTGGATACAGGATCCAGCGTGACGATTATTGCGGCCGACACGTGACGATCAACCGGATCCCCGAAGCTGTCACCGTATACGAATACTCTGCGGAGCTTCACGGGGCACACACTAAAGGTCATCGGTACTGCAACCGTGGAAGTCGACCACGCACGCACTCGCAAGGCACTGCCGGTTGTGGTGGTGGCCACTGGTGGAAACGTGCTGGGTAGAGACTGGATCCGCGCCTTGGATCTCAGCCGACTGAGTCTGCGGGATTTGCAGTCGACCAGGGTGTCTACAGTTTCCGGCACACTGGAGGTGTAACAGCTGCTGAAGAAGCACAGCGCAGTTTTCCGTGACGAACTGGGCCATTGCAAACATTACAAGGCTTACCTGCACTTGAAGCCAGGCGCGACGCTTGTATTCCGGAAAGCTCGATCAGTGCCATTTGCCTTTCGCGAAGCACTGGATCGCGACCTGGATCGCCTGGTGGAGAGGGGCATCCTTACACCAGTGGAACGGGCCGACTGGGCAGCTCCAGTGGTGACGGCGCAGAAACGGGCTGGAGAAATCCGCACCTGTGCCGCCCTTAGCACGGGACTCAACGACGCTCTCAACGTCCAGCAGTACCCGCTGCCGACGCCCGATGAGCTGTTCGCGAAGCTGAACGGAGGGAAACAGTTCAGTACGTTGGACCTGGCGGAAGCGTACGCCCAGGTGGAGCTAGATGAAGAGAGCAAGAACCTGGTAGTGATCAACACGCACAAGGGGTTGTTCCGGTACAACCGACTCCCCTTCGGTGTCGCCTGCGGTCCCTCCGTGTTTCAGCAGATCATGGAAAGTGTCCTCCAGGGATGCGAGGGAGTCGCCATTTACCTCGATGACATCATCGTCACCGGGGCGACGGAAGAGAAACACCTCCGGAACTCCAACGCCTGGAAGAGCACGGTTTCATGCTGAAGCGCAGCAAGTGCTTCTTCCTTCAGGACTCCGTGGAGTACCTGGGGTTCGTGGTGGACCACCGAGGTCGCCACATTTCCCAGGACCGCGTCAAGGCACTCCGCGATATGGCCCGGCCGACCAACATCAGCGAACTCCGAGCGTTCCTGGGTCTGGTCAACCATTACGGGAAGTTCGTACGCGACCTGTCCGGAAAGTGTGCGCCGTTCCACAATCTCCTGAAGGCCGGAGTCGCCTGGTCCTGGTCCAAGGACTGCGAAACGCAGTTCCTCTCCTTGAAGGAGCAGATTGTCCGCGCGACGTTCCTGGTTCATTACGATCCCCGGATGCCGCTGGTCCTCGCCGCGGACGCGTCACAGTACGGCGTTGGCGCCGTGATCTGTCACCGTTTCCCGGACGGAACGGAACGGCCAATCGCACACGCCCCGAAGACGCTCACAGCCGCCGAGAAGAACTACGGCCAGATAGAAAAGGAGGCCTTGGCACTGGTGTTCGGGTGCCGGAAGTTCCATCGAACTCCTTGGACGATATGACGTACAACTTTCAACGTACGACCCTCAGCTGAGTGACGGGAATGAATATCCCCCTAGTCGCCCTAACGGGTTGCACTATCTCAGCGAGGACGTTCGATACGTCGTTAAAAAGATGCTGCGCGTAGGTTGGCTCAAGCAGACTGTTGACGAGCCAGAAGCCCAGCAGCGTTATGCAATGAAGACTAACCCACCAGACCGATATGGCCCTCGCCCCACTGAACCCGCCTCCTTGGCCTCAACCAAGTCCAAGAAGAAGCGGCGCACTTACCATCAGTGACCTAGGCGTAGAATTCGCATAGGGTCTCGGGGGTGATCCCGATATAATTCACCGGGCAAGAAAAGCCTAGTTAACAAATTACACGTAAAATTATATGGACGTAAAACATAGGGCGTAATTATCATAGGGACCTGTCATAGAAAGCGGACTTAACCTCATTCTGCAAGTTTCATTTCTGTTACCACAGAGAATGGGACTTACACCGCAGCAGAAGTACGAGCCGTGATTTTCGGACTGCAGACGCAATAGCGGGGATCACTTAAACCGCCGGGACAATTCCTCACGGGAATTGTTCCCCTGCGCATACCACCTGCGGCCGGGCTTCCGCGACAAGACCGACAGAGCCTACTGCTTCTACTTAGAAGTGGTGAGAGGCAGTTTCGACGCATACTGTCATATGACCAGCCGCGATGGAAGCCATCTGTTTCCTCTATTGAGGGACCATAAACAGATAGAGATCTACGATCTCTACATCAACGCAGTGGCGACCGACAACCTGGCTGGAGCAGTACCGGAACCCCGATCCCCCCACTCAGCCAATCGGCTCGAGACCAGAAGGAGCAACGGGACCGGGAACGTCGAACCCGTAACACGGGTTCTGACCAGTCCTCAGGGCGTGGCCCAACGGCCGCCCCGAGAAATTACGTACATCAGCCACATCCGCAGCAGCCATCGTCAGGCTCTCAATCCTACGGATATGGGTTGCCTATACCGACGACATATAACCAGATCCTGGAAAACATCAACAAAGCAATGGTTGACCAGGTAGCTAAGCAGCTGCTGGAAGGTGGACTGCTGGATGCCTTGAAGGGCCAATATCAGCCAGCGCGCACTGAGCACCGCCCGCCACTGGCACCGCTACCGCGGAACCCAGATGACTTACGTCATCAGATTCAGAGTCGCAACCAGGACCAAACTGGCCGCCAAAGTCGTAGCCAGCCCGAGGAGCGCCAAACGCGCACATCACCCGGGAAGCGAAACGAGGCCAAGTCTAACCTGGTTGTCGCTCAGTCCACCAAGCGACCAGAACGAAGTGTCAGCTCGGTGGCCCACAACATTAGCATTCAGATCCCAATGGAGACGGAGTCCGCACCGCCGTCATCGGACCCACCGGCCCGACAAGACGTAGGCGTCAGTGCCACGGACTTCGATCCATATAAACATGCTGAGGACCAAGGCATCAATATCCGGCCATTTCCCCACCGGGTGGTGACGGATTACATTATGGGCGCCATCCCATACCCCAGGGACAGATGGGCCCAAGTCGACGCCATGGTCCAGAATCTGCAAACCTTCGTCATCCGGTCCGGACTTGAAATGGAGATGCAGAAAAAGGAGTGGCCCCGTGCTTTCAGCATGGCGGAACACACTGAGAACCGTTAGGGCTACTCAATGGTCCGTGACAATGCTCTATCGAGCATCACGGACTCTATCGAACTTACTTGGACAGCCTGTTACCAGACCGGACTGGAATGACTTGTGCCAATTGCACATCAAAAACGACCAACTTGACGTCGTCAAATACCTGGCCCAGTTTGTCCTACCGGACGCAAACGCCAGCTTCATCATCGCAGCTTGTAGAGCCGCCATGGAAATTCCATGCAAGCCGGCCGATTATAAGGAGGCCCCACTTGGAACGTACGCCTACTCGTACAACGGCATGATGATACGCATCTTTGCCGCCAGACTTGGTCACCTACGGAACTCGAAGTTGCCTATCGGCAGGGGAAGATCATTCCTCGGTTACTGACCCAAGTGGCCCTCCTTGGAAACCAAATCCACGAAATTGAAACGGGAGTCAAAATTCAGAGCGCCCTGAATGTTTTCAGGAGCCGCGCTAAAGACTACCGTTATCGACACCCAACGGACTTCGACGACGGAGCGGAGGCGTTCGTTAACCGAACGGCAGCGCGGAAACTTCCAACGAAGTTTCGCACTCAGCGATCCTCGACAGGATCGTCCGCTCAAGTCCAGACTAAGGCCGTACATTCTGGCCCAGAAGTCCAGCCGACCAGCGCCTCCAGCCAACCACAGGACAACCTAACTGAACAGGAGTTGGCGGACATGGAGGAAAGCGTCGTCGACCCACTCAATCCTGGGTTGGGCGACGGCGACCAAGCCGGACAAGGAGGGCAGGAACAGGCCAACGGCCATTCCTGCATGTTGGCCCTAAAAAAGGACCGACATCAGCTGGAACCGGATATGAACACCACGATGGGTATCACCCAACGGTTGTAGCCCTCGCCCAACAAACGTGGCTTACGGCCATGTACCGTCCACCTCACCAGACCTTCATCCCTGGATCTTAACCGGATTCCCCGGATAGGCTCTGGCTTAGCGGCTGGGACCATGAATTTGGCTCGGCCATCCCAGACCATCCGACGGAGTTTACCGGACCGAACTTGGCACAAGGCCCCGTTCACCGGCATGGAAAGGATCCAGCGCCCAGAAGACGGCGACTGCCCGCATAGAAGTTGCGACAAGCCATGGATTAGCCTGGCCCGCATAGAAGTTGCGACAAGCCAAGGCCAAGTGCTGGCCCATAGAAGTCGGACCAGGCCCGCTGTGTGTCCAATGGACCATATGCAGCTCACGAGTCTAGTTGCCATACCAGGCAACTGGGACAAGTGAGTACGGGAGCCACATAGAAGTTGTGGTACACCCACTTTGCATGCCATGTCCAACATCCTCACCACGGACTGCCCAGAGGCCCATCCAAAAGATGCACCGCCCCGAGGCCAAATGAGGATGCTTCTAGTTAGAAGACCGACTCCTTTGTGGAAAACGCCTACCAGCGCCCACAATCTAATTTTTTGGAGTTTGGCCCGGCCAACCTGATGTTTTCGTCAGACGCCACTTAATTTTGTTATGGCCACGGTCTTAGGGAAACTTACCCGTCATATCTGACATGGTAGTTAACTCATGGCCCACGGCCATTGAGGCGGACCAGACTTAACCAGTCTGCAACTTTGGACCGTCGAAAAAACGAGTAAGTCCTTTTGGCCCGCCATCAACTTTGGACCGTCGAAAAATCGACTAAGTCTTTTGGCCCGTCCAACGACGTGGCCACTGAAAAATCGACTAAGTCTTTTGGCCCGTCCAACGACGTGGCTCATCAAAAAACGACTAAGTCCACATCGGAGAGCCGAAACCGGTTATACAGGACCCACACCTCAGCAAAGGCCAGAAGCAAGGCCCTGCCATTCCGGAACCCTGTATCCCGGCCCAGAGCATGTCAGAGAATGTCAGAGACCGAGTTTGGACCGCCCCAACGGGTTTGGTCCATCACCCCACTCCGGTCCTGGGACTTAGCAATTTTTCCATTGCGGCCCTTCTGGACTTAGAAAATTTTTGGACCTAGGCGCATGACCAAACCGGCATGCAAGGCCAAAACCGGTCCAAGTTAGAGACCCATATGGGCCATCCAAACGGAATCGGTCTAAGCATTCTATTTTGGTCACAGGAGTACCCCTCCTGTCCAGAGGCATTACTCTGGCCCCATATGGACCGCCCAACCGGGCTTGGTCCGCCATACTGAACTAGGAAGGGGAAAACTTGTCCTTGCGCATGCAACCGTGCCCTCCTTATACCGCACCGCTGGAATTACTACACTGGACCCCTGTGGATATCTCTGGGAACCGTCGCCTCGGATCTACAGGATCAGAACAATCCTATCGGATAAAGCGGACCGTTGACTAGGACCCCTGTGGATAACCGCGGCCCTGTGGTATACCTAGTCGGAATAAGCCATTTTTGTCTAGTTTTTTAACCAAACCTGGTTTTTCTAGACTTTAATAACCAAAGAAATTGATGTTTTTATTTAGCCATTAACCAAAGGAATTGGCTTTGGGATCTCTAACTTTGATCTTACTTTAATTCTCACTGGAATTGTGATTTTTCTATTTCAATGTTTAACCAATGAGCCTTATAAACTTTATTTTTTTACTTGTTCGACCAAAGCAAGCCTTCAACCACACTGGAACCCCCTGCAAACAGAGTGCACTCCAGATTTCGGCCGTTCGGTGCACTGCACCGCGGGTCTGGAGGAAGCTTACCCTACCGGGTTTAGAGACAAAGTGGCATCCGGCCCTACCGGGTATCGGATCCTGGCACCCTACCGGGTTGGCCAGGGGCAGAGTCGGAAGGTGCTCGCAGGAGCTCCCACTCCCGCCCAGAGGCATGTCAGAGACCACTCACTCGAGGCGGTAGACACCTCTTGTGGCTTTCTCTGTCGCCCGCCCGCACATGGCTACGCCATTCGTGCCGCGCTATTACGCTGCTCACTCAGCGTATACTTTGTCTACGCTGACCAATCAGCGTATTTCTGCACTCTTGAGGGCGTAGCCCAGCGCTTACGAGCGATTCTATGCTTTACGGCATCAGCTGTTGCATACCTGCAGCACGCTGCATCATTATCACGATTTTGACTTGCGCGCTTGCAGCTACTTTCCACAGCATATGCCGCATTGGCTTTTTCTGTGTCTGTTTGTGGTTGCTTTATTGATCTTCAATAAAGGCATATTTTGCCCCATTTTCTCCTGCTTCTGTGTCATATCTGACAGGTGTGTGTTCAGCTAATGCCCGTTTACGGGTTGAAAGTGGTAGCAATTAATTTAACTGGGATACTAATTAGTTTAAGTGAAATAAAAACTATCAATTATTTTAATTTAGATTGCATTGTTAGTAAAATAGGTGAAAAGGAGGAAGTATGCATCGTGGGGAT